TCTATATTTTATGTGTGGTTATAACCTTGCTATAGTTTACGTGTGGATATATCCTTGTTATAGTTTACGTGTGGATATATCCTTGTTATAGTTTACGAGTGGTTATAACTTCTCTATAATTTATGTATGGTTATAGCCTTTCTATATTTTATGTGTGGTTATAACCTTGCTATAGTTTACGTGTGGATATATCCTTGTTATAGTTTACGAGTGGTTATAACCTTGTTATAGTTTACGTGTGGTTATAACCTTGTTATAGTTTACGAGTGGTTATAACCTTGCTATAACTTATGTATAGTTATATCCTTGCTACCTTATGTTGAAATTCTGAGAACTTAGTTTTTATTGGACGCTAAGCCTGATAATGACAAGCAGCAAATTTTAGCTATTGCTAAGGATAAAACACTAAAAAATGAGGAAAAAGAAGAAGAAAACGTACGACTGCGGAACCAGTCTCAACTTGGCAAAGGTGTGGGGTAAGTTTCCAGGCACTTTCCTGCGTCGAAGACCTCTGGCGGAGAGCAAAGTAACATGCAGGTCACTTCGGCTGTGATCAAACCACAACTGAAGTCCGATGTCTCCCAGTAAAAGTGGTTGTAAAGGTTGAGTCTAAGAAATGAAGAAGTTTAAGAAAAGAAAAAAAATCAGGACTCTAAAATTATTCATCAAGACAATATTAATCATACATCACAACACTAATTCAGTAATAGAAAGAAAAAAAAAGCCTTCCAAGAAAGGCTAACTGTAGCTGCTCGAAGTACGTGATGACATGAAGATACGGGATACAATCTTTTCACGAGTTGTAGTTGGTAACATACACGATAACCTAAATATAATATACTAGTAAAGCTATTAATGACAGCTATTATTTTCTAATTACTTTAAACATTTATTTTCGGATACTAATCTGATGCAGTTTTTAAGTACTATATGTGATGACATGACCGGGTTTCGATCCTTGATCCTCTTCATAAATAGGCATTGTGTTATCCATTCGTCCACTGGAACTTAAATCAATCATCTCAATGATTTCAACAGAGATATCCAAGTTGTATTGACTTCAAGGCTATGTTGGTCAACAGAAGTATCCAAGTGCTGACTTCTAGGCTATGTTGATCAGCAGAGGTATCCAAGTTGTACTGACTTCTAGGCTATGTTGATCAACAGAAGTATCCAAGTTGTACTGACTTCTAGTCTAGGTTGATCAACACAAGTATCTAAGTTGTACTGACTTCTAGTCTAGGTTGATCAACAGAAGTATCCAAGTTGTACTGACTTCTAGTCTAGGTTGATCAACAGAAGTATCCAAGTTGTACTGACTTCTAGGCTAGGCTGATCAACAAAAGTATCCAAGTTGTATTGACTTCTAGGCTATGTTGATCAACAAAAGTATCCAAGTTGTACTGACTTCTAGGCTATGTTGATCAACAGAAGTATCCAAGTTGTACTGACTTCTAGGCTAGGCTGATCAACAGAAGTATCCAAGTTGAGATGACATTAGAGATGACACTGACTGTCCTTCTTTGTCAGGCTGACCCGAAATGATAATAGAGATGACACTGACATACATTCTTTGTCAGGCTGAAATGAGATGATAAAAGAGAAGACACTGACAGTCCTTCTTTGTCAGGCTGACCCGAGATGACAGTAGAAATGACACTGACACACCTTCTTTGTCAGGCTGACCCGAGATGACAGTAGAAATGACACTGACACTCCTTCTTTGTCAGGCTGACCCGAGATGACAGTAGAAATGACATTGACACTCCTTCTTTGTCAGGCTGACCCAAGATGATAATAGACATGACACTGACAGTCCTTCTTTGTCAGGCTGATCCGAGATGCTAATAAAGATGACACTGACATCGCTTCTTTGTCAGGCTGACCTAAGATGATAATATAGATGACACTGACACTCCTTCTTTGTCAGGCTGATCCGAGATGCTAATAAAGATGACACTGACATACCTTCTTTGTCAGGCTGACCCGAGATGACACTGACATAGCTTCTTTGTCAGGCTGACCTAAGATGATAATATAGATGACACTGACACTCCTTCTTTGTCAGGCTGATCCGAGATGCTAATAAAGATGACACTGACAAGAGTTATTCTAATAAATTTAACGTTCTTATACCTTCTTGGATTAGTTTTTCCAGGATGTTTAAATACCTCTTTTACCACTTTTGTCTAAGATGCGTTTTTTCTTCTGATTGTTTTGGGTTTTTATCGTGTTCACAATATCACAGACATTATTATTTATACGCTAAACAGCATTGAGTGGGTGTGTTGTATTTCAGATTTATCTTCTGCTCAACCAAAAATTGGAAAATGTTTCCAAACAGGACACTGTAGGATAATAGTAGGAACGTGCATGTAGCCTATTTGTCTGTTTAGGATGTTGTTGTTGTTGTCTTTTTAACGCACAAGTACACAATAGAGTATGTGCACTCCGTCTATCTTTAGGGAATCGAACCTTAGATTTCAGCGTTGGAAGTCCGATAACTTACTGATTCACTGGGGAAAATTTGTTTAGGAAAATCACCTTGGAACCGAGAATCGATTGTCTGTAAGAC